AAAAGGTAAGTGAATATAAAATTACACCATTTCATAAATGACAAGATGGACTGAAAGGAGTAGATGCAATGGAGGAGGAAAAAGAGGAAATGTGAGCTTGAAGATCTACCTAAGTTATGAAGAAGGTCAAGGTGGTGGTGGTGGTTTAGTCACGAAGTCGTGTCTGACTCTTGCAACCCTGTGGACTGTAGCCCGCCAGGCTTCTCTGTCCATGGGATCCTCCAGGCAAGGACACTGGAGTGGGTTGCCATTTCCTTCTCCAGGGGATATTCCTGACCCAAGAACTGAACCTGGGTCTTCTGCATTACAGGCAGATGATTTATCAGAGCTATGCGGGAAGGCTGCAGGTCAAGGTGTGAGATGTTAATTGGCCATGTAAGTAAGAGGAAGAAGGATATTTGAGGTGGGAGGACAGGATATGCAGAGGCTCTGAGGTAGGAAAGAACTTGTTTAAGGAACCAACAGTAAGCCATGTGGCTAGAATAAAATACATGAAGGAAAGATAGAGAGTTGAGATTTAGAAGGCAAAAGCTATCACCCAGAGAATTATCAGTATATACTAGTGGCTCTGAGTGTTTAAGGTGGTGCTAACAGTAAAGAACCCACCTACCAATTCAGGAGACAAGAGATATGGGTTTAAGGGATACAGGTTCGATCTGGGTCGGGAATATCCCCTGGAGGAGGAAACGGCAACCCACTCCAGTGTTCTTGCCTGGAAAATCGCATGGACAGAGGAGTCTGGTGGGCTACAGTCCATGAGGTCGCAAAGAGTTGGATACAACTGAGTGACTTAGCATGCTAAGTGTTTAAGGTGTCAGCCTTCATACCAAGTTAGTCCAGGTTTATATGGCAGTAGATAAAGTAGTTTCTAGAAACAAGTTATTTCCTTTCTAATAGGAGATGGGTAAAACCTAGTAGCCCACTGCCTTAATCCCAATGTTAGATACCAGTAGCCTGCAATAACTGGCAGGTGAAATTAGTAAGAGGGATAATTGATGCCGTCACAAACTTGCCCAACCGAGCTTTGTGCAATATATTTTGGGAGTTCACCAGTGTGTTTTGTGTGCTGGCACAGATGGTGGTACATGCTGAGACTTGTTTGGATCGAAGGTGTAGCAGCTAGGTAGGACGTGGAAAGAACGCACTTCTGTCTTCACCAGGGGCTTTTATATGCTCGATAGCTAGCTCCTAACTTAGTGCTTTCTCCTTTTCTCCCAACTAACACAAAGTCATTTGCTTTTAGTTCACCCTGTGTTCTACTGGCAGACTAACGTTCATATGCAGATTTGATCATACCTTCCCTCACCTGTGAGCCTGCAATAATTCTCCTTTGTCATATCAATTTCAAAATTCATATAAGAATTCAGAGCCTCAAATGATCTCCAGCCTTTTCTTGTTTTAAATCCAACTCAAGAATATACTCCAGTCCCTTTGATATATTTGAGATCTAACCCCACAAACCTGAGTGGACCTTCTTCCTCCAGCCCAGGCTGATGCTTTTTTGCCATGGAGTAGTGGGAAAAGCTGAATGCAGCCTCTCTAGAATATCACCAAGAAACTTTACTGTTTCAATATTTGGTGACTTTTTGTCTTTGTCAGTTTCTACCAAGGTCTTCTTTCCCTGACTCATGCTTCCATCCCTTTTAGGTGTGCTTTAAGACCCTAGAATCAGGGACTTAGTCTGTAGGTCTTATTGATCAGACCCAGAGTTGGATAATTAACTCTGCTGTAGTGGAAAGAACAGTAGTTTTAGAGTCAAACTGATCTGGGTTTGAATGACAGTGCCTCTGACTTACCAGTTTATGACCCTGGGCAGGGATGGTAGGGTTGGTGGTTACTTAACCTTTCTGAGCCTCATGTTTCTTATTTTTAGGCTTCTGCATTGGTTTCCTCCTTTGCCAAGAGGGAGGTGACATGAAAGAAGTGCAGTATGTTAGTAGATTTTCCATTGGGAATTTTGGAACAAGCAATTTTGTGGCACCCTGGTCACTGTTCTAACATTCCAAATGTAATAACTGGTTGCTGGAATTGGAATGAGGAAAAAATTCTGGAATAAATATGCCTGGGAGGGGTTTTGTTTTGTTCTGGAGAAATATGCCCAAACCTTAGAGGAAAATGATCTATTCTATGAAAGATTACATATAAGCCAGGATTCTTTTGACTCTCCAGATTTGATTTCTCTAACAGTATCTGACACCAAACACAAAACGCCTTAGGTATTTGACCTTCAAAAATCAATCTCATTCGAAAAATAGTCAACTGTACTCAAAAAATACATTTGACTTTTGGATAGTGATTTGGAGCCATAAGTTTTTCCAGTAATCCGATCATATGGGTCATGATTTTAATCCTCCCCTCCCCCACCCTCTCTCCTTTCCCATGCCTCTGTGTGCTTGGGAAAACTGAGATGCAGAGAGGTTGTTTTGGTATGGTGAGAGACACACACTAAGTCTTTGCTAAGGATTTTAGAGTCAGCAGCTCTAGTCCAAATCCCAGCCCTCCTGTACCCCCTGCCTCATGATAGGTGAGTTATGTCACCTCTCTGAGCCCGCTTCCTCAATGAGACAGTGATCACAACACCTGAAGCCCAATATGTGGTTCACAGTAAGCAATCAGTGACTCTTGATTTCCTTTCCCAAGAGTACAAAATTTTTATTCCAAACATCATTTTGTTAACGTAGTCTGTCTCACTATAATATTTAAGTATCTGGGTGTTATATAATGTATATGAAATATATATGAGATTTTTTAAAATACACAGTGTCTTGTACTCAGAACCAATAAGAAAGAAAAACAACTTCCAAATTTCTCACATTCAGCAAGTCAGTTAAGTTTGATGGTAGCATAGGTATTTTGAGTTAGCATTAGTGTAAGAGACAAGACTGAGGAATTCCCAGGTTGCAGAAACTCTTCACCTGCTTCTTGGTTATGTTTTCATTTTTGTATCCCACCTGCATCTTAACAACACATCTGTCATTAGTGTAAGGTAGCATTTCTGCCAGTAAAGTAAGGGAGCAAAGCTTTCTATACTGACATCATCTACCCTGGGGGAAATGATTGCTCCTGCACTCCCTCCCTCCCTCTGTACTAGTTAATACTGTTGGATGCAATAGACAGATCCCCATCTCAAATTAGGGAAACCTGCTGGAAGGGACATCTCTCAGAGTGGCTATGCTTATAAATAGGCTTAGAAACAGCCTGTCTTTGGGAACAGCTGGAGCTAGTAACTTGAATGTCACCAGATTCTGTTTTTTCTTTTCTGTGCACTTCTGATTCACTGTTACCACACTATGTGTAGACTGGTCACATTTTTCTTTTAGTCCATGTGGCAAAGGGTGCCTAGTCCAAAAGTTTGGGAAAGAGACACAGTGACACAGCTTATATCAGATGCCCATCCTGGATCAGGAAGCTGTGATCATGTAAATACGTGGTGGCTCCTTATTATATGGATGAAGTGGAATGAGAAGAGCAGCACAGAAGGAGGGCTCTGAACACAGAGTTCCAGAGCTGCCCACACACTGCCATCTTAGGCTGTGGGATCTGAGCTGGGAATACAAAAAATGCTCCTGAACCGAGTTTGCTTGCAGCCCAGTGATGGGAGATGGATGTACAACTGAAGTGCAATAGAACGATGTTGGTTCTGTAATAGTGGATGCATTGGTTAAATAGGAGTAAAGAATAGGTGGTCAGTTAGGTTGGCTCAGACACAGAAGCCCCTGTTGGCAATGATGGCTGCACAGTTGGGCACCTTGCAGACTCTGAAAGCCCTTGAGCCAGCTGACTTATTATCTGGGGACTCGGTATAGCCCTGGCATTTTCTGAGTATGAATGCCCTGTGCTTTGTCGTTAAGAGGCCTCTCCATCAGAGTGCCTTTTTGAATTATTCAGTGAGTTTTTTTACAAAGAAAAATTAAGTATATCTTGAGGGTTTTGTCATGTTCTGTTTTAGAGAATTCATATGATCTGAATATTCATCCCCTATGGTAGCTTCTTAAACCTATTAAAAGACAACTTATTATAAGACAGATTCATCAACTTGTTTCACAACTCAGGTAACCTGGCACTTAACTGCTGGTTAGTTACAAATCCCTTGCTTTTAAGTAGCTTATAAATAAGTCCTGTGTCCTGTCATGAGGCCCGAGAGCGTTTGCCATAGTCCCTTTCCTTTGCTGTTGCAGTGACCTGTGGTATATCTATTGGTGGTCTCATGTTTATCACCCTTTAGTTTGCTTCCTCAGGCAGAACAGACTGATTCTCTTCCATCTTGTGTTGCGTGAGGTCAACTTTCTACATCTTATTCCACTGCTCTATCTTTGGCTCCAGTCTCTTCATCTTGGCTTTGCGTTTCACATTTATATTTTACCAAGGCTTTTATTGTCCTTAACTCCTTGATTTTTCTCTCTGCCCTTTCTTGCTGTTGCATGTATTTTTTAATGAAACCTTCTGTTTTGAGATAATTGTAGTTTTGCAGAAAGTTATAAGTATTAACAGAGAAATACTGTTTACCTTTAACCAAGTCTTCCCCAATGGTAACGTCATCACCTTGCAAGACTACTGTCTAATGGCATAATCAGGATATTGAAATTGATATAGTCAAGATACATAATGGTAGCCTTAACATTTTGATTTTTAAGGTTGCTTCTCATCCTTACTCATCTCTTAGATCCTTCTCTCCTTGCTCTTCTCACATTCATTGTCCTGGGGATTTAACCAAATCTGATTTAAGGCTCTTACAAGACTCAATTTTCTCTCTGATAGGCTGGCTAGACTTCATGCTGTCAGAGTTTTTAGGGATAGAGCTTGCCTTCCCTAAATTATTTGCCTAGAATTTGGATGTCTCTCGGTGGCCTTAAAAGTCATGTGAGAACCGGGTTTGTTTGTGAGTTAATTTTGCCATAAGTTCACCCAGGTCACGTGAGGGTGAAGAACGTGTGGAGGTTGGTATGGTACTAATCCTCTGAGACTCAGAGCCCTAAACAAAGACACTTTTCCCCCCAAAGGACAGTTCTGCACAGAAGATGTGGATGAGTGCCTGCTGCAACCCAATGCCTGTCAGAACGGGGGCACCTGTACCAACCGCAATGGGGGCTACGGCTGTGTGTGTGTGAATGGCTGGAGCGGGGACGACTGCAGTGAGAACATCGATGATTGTGCCTTCGCCTCCTGCACCCCGGGCTCTACCTGCATCGATCGTGTGGCCTCCTTCTCTTGTATGTGCCCAGAAGGAAAGGCAGGTAAGGCTGGCAGAAGAACAGAGCTGGAGAGGGGAAAGGACTGGTGAGCATTCACGACTTCTGCCTCCGTCTCTTTCATCCCTTTTGGGGTATGTCCTTTTAAGTTTCATCTTTTGGAACATGGCACTCAAAGCTGTTCTTCTGGAAGTGTAATTGGTAGCCAGAGTGCTGTGAAGTCAATCTTCTTCCTTAGGACTTTTAGCTCTCAATTTCATGTACCTCAGTGTGTCATCCCCCCAAAATGAAAGTAACTCTTGCCTTGGAAACATCTGTAACCTCCTTAAGATTTTAATCAAAAAGACTGCTCAGAAATTAAGGTAAATTTCTCAGAAATTAAGACAGAATTACTCACAAATGGAGGTAGGGCACTTAATTTTAAGAAGAAATAATCCATTTACTCAGAAAAGGTTAGCAAGAGGGAAACAATGAAGTGTATTCCAGCTCTCAATATTGCCCTGTAGCGGAAGGTTTTCACCAGCTGCAAGGTTAACATTGCTCTAGCCTCTCAGTTTAACAGTTGGGTCTAGGAATCAATCAGTGAGAGGAGGAATGTTACAGAAGGAGATTGCTCAGCGATAGAACTTTGTGCCCAGCAGTTTTGAAATGTTCCTGTATCTATGCCTTTTCAAAAGCCCCGCCTCCAGCTTTGTAGAAGAAGCCTTAGTCACCTCTTCTTAAGCTAATTGCAGGCTGGAAAATCCAGTTCCCATGTGAACTATGCAGAACATGGGGCCTAGTCATGTCTTCAGAGTCCTGAGGGCACTTGACCCAGGAATGTTGACACTATTAAAAAGCTGCCCAAGTATAGGCTGATGATGTTCAGCTGGGTTTTTTTTTTTTTTCTTCTGAGACTAATGAAATGCAGGTGGCCCCAAGATCATCAGGTAGCATGATCTTGGGAAAGTGGGTTGCCAGATAAAATATAGGATGTATGTAATATTTGGGACATAGAGTAAATAATTATTCATTGTTTATCTGAAATTCAGATTGAACTGGGCAGCCTCGGTTTTTATGTGTTAGACATGACAGCTCAGTGGGAAGGATATCTCCCTTTTCCTTACTCCAACATCTAACCATCTCACAAATCCCTCACATTATCTACCCTTGAGGAGGGGTCCAGCTGAAGGCTCAGATTCAGGGTATAGAGAGAGGTGTCTGCAGAAGCTTCTTGCTTTGCAGTTAGCTGCAGCATGTCCCTAAGGCAGGATCAGGCAAAGGGGAAATTGCCTCTAAATCTTCACTTTGGATTCTGATGTGCCAGTCCTAAGGTGTTCAATCCTCCATGAAAGAGAAACTCATTCTCCAGGTAAGGGACATTTTCTCTTTCTTCTCCTTACCTCACCCCTGTGACAGGTCTCTTATGTCATCTGGATGACGCGTGCATCAGCAACCCCTGCCACAAGGGGGCGCTGTGTGACACCAACCCTCTGAATGGACAGTATATTTGCACCTGCCCACAAGGCTACAAAGGAAGTGATTGTACAGAAGATGTGGATGAATGTGCCATGGGTGAGTACACTGAACCTTTCCTATCCCTGTCAGTTGAGCTCAGCAGACATTTCAGCTGAAGCACATTTCACTCTGTGAGCCTGTTTCATCCAAACCTCAGACCTGTTATATGCCTTCTGTTTACAACTGACCTTTCAGTGTAACCACATAGTCTGTCCTGGGAATTCAAATATATAGAAGGTTTGTGCTTGATTCTTAACATGGATCCCTACCTTAGTGACTGTTTGGGCATAAGAACAGCAGACACACATGAGAGTTGAGATTGCCCTCTTTTGTCTTTCTTTCCCTATTTCCGTCCTTCCTTCTTCATTTAATTATTTATTTACTTTCTGATTGATTGTTTTCTGATTGATTGATTGATTAGAAGGACGTAAGAAATTGAGAATCAGATTATTAAAGGACTGGCCCTAATGCTACTAATCTGACCCACTTCTGTAGTCCACATTTGTGGAAGCTCCATCGAGTGCTTTGATCCTGGTTATGGGTGCTTGTGTCTTCCAGCCAACAGCAATCCTTGTGAGCATGCAGGAAAATGTGTGAACACAGATGGTGCCTTCCACTGTGAGTGTCTGAAGGGCTATGCAGGACCTCGTTGTGAGATGGACATCAATGAGTGCCACTCAGACCCCTGCAAGAATGACGCCACCTGTCTGGATAAGATCGGAGGCTTCACATGTCTGTGCATGCCAGGTACATGGGCCGTCGGTGTGTGGCGTCTAGACCGGAGACCTTGCCCTGTGCTTGTCTTAGGCAGAGCACTCAGTACAGTGTCGCGTTTCCATAAGCTCTCTTGGCATTTAATCCCTAGCCACGGGACCCTTAGTGGCCTAGTGGCTTCCCTGGTGCCTCAGTGGCAAAGAATCTGCCTGCAGTACAGGAGCCGCTGGAGACGTGGGTTTGATCCCTAGGTTGGAACCATCTCCTGGAGGTGGGCATGGCAACCCACTCCAGTATTCTTGCCTGGAGAATCCCATGGACAGAGGAGCCTGATGGGCTATAATCCATTGGGTCGCAGAGTCGAGCATGACTGAGCAACTTAGCACGCGCATATGCAAGGGGACCCTTAAGGACTAAGGCCCATGTTAAACTCCTTAGAACTATGGAAAACAGTCCCATCATGCCAAAACCCAGATACTTGTGAGAGAAAAGTTCAGAAGGTTTTTAAATGCAAGTATACTTTGGTTTAATAAAGTATTTGTCATAAAAATTCTTTAAATAGCAAGCTTTCCTTATCCCCTGATATATTACAAATAGCATACCATTCCATTTATAGAAAATAATATTACCCATAATTGTATAGGAACTTGCTGTTTATCTCATGGTGAGATACACATGCTGTGTTATATCTTGGAACTCTTCTGCAGAGACCTCTGCTTGAATCCTTAGAGAGCACAGCTGAACTTCAGCTTAAAATGACAGCTGTCAGGGGCTGCTTGGCCTGATTACGGGTGCTAAGCGCTCTAGCCTTGGCAGGCCCTCCTGACTTTGACTTGCACCCCAAGTACAATAGCATCTCTCATTCATTCAGCTGGTCCTTAGGACTGGGGACCCTGTGGGCTTGGCACTGTCCTGAAAACAATGCCTGGACTGATCCGAGAATGTAGTTCAGTCTTTGTTGCCATGCTAGGTCTTACCAAGGTCTTTGGAGGTAACCTCTCCTCCGTCTCCACAGTGACATGGATATCCCAGGATATGCCCATGTCTGACTGATGCTCACAGTGACTGTTTTCAATCACGGCATAGTCCTCTTTTCCCTCTGCAGAAATGTTCATACTCATAGAGGATGTAGTCATTTTTATGAATTTGTGCTTTCTTGGCTAGAATATGCCTTTGTCTTTTTCTAAGCCACTTGTGTGGTCCATTTTGTTCAGGTTTCAAAGGTGTGCATTGTGAGTTGGAGATAAATGAATGTCAGAGCAACCCTTGTGTGAACAATGGACAGTGTGTGGATAAAGTCAATCGCTTCCAGTGTCTGTGTCCGCCTGGTAAGTGCCCACCACCTGCCCCTGTTTTCTTTGAAAGCACAAAGCCGACTGACCGTAGGGAAGAGAGGAGGGAGAGAATGTGTGTGGGCTCTCCATGAGGAAGTCATTAAAGTGAGCGCTTTGGGATAGGAGTGTGTGTGTACAGAAGTGGGGGATTTGTTTCAGCTAGTATATCTTCCAGATCCTTTGTGGCCAGAAGTCCAAGTCTATTCTGAATGGCCTATGACCTCGCCGTCTGTGTGTACATTTCAGGAAGTTCATACCTCATGGAAGCCCTTAGTTCTAGGTTATTCAGGATTTTATTTTTTCCCGTGAGTCATATTCTTGAAACCCTTTTCTGAGATGATTATTTTTAGACATTTCACCCATGGGTACATTAACGGCACAAGTCAGTTCTTTCCAAAGAATGCTGTGTCTCTCCTTTGGCCCCCTACAGCCTTTATGGAAGACATGCTGAATTTTTTGCCTGAGGCTGTAGCCTCTCCTGTTGTTTCTTCAGAGAGAAGGTCCCAGTTCCTGTGCAGCTACATTCACTTCTTAGGGGGTTCTGCCTGTATGCATTCAGTTCCTACTTTAAGTTGAAGTGAAATCTATACTGGGAAGAAAAAGAGGTGAGAGAGACAGCCATGGGCCTCTGATGCCCTGAGCCTCACCCAGTTATCCCAGGTACCTGTTCAGGAGAATAATTCTCATGTGCTGATCGAGGGGTATAAACCCTGCCAATAACTACCCAATTCCTCTTGGGCATCATTCTGATAGTAAGGAAAACATAAAATAATCCTTTGACTTGTGTCATCATGTGCCCTTTTAAGGATTCACGGGGCCAGTTTGCCAGATCGATATTGACGACTGTTCTAGTACTCCATGTCTGAATGGGGCAAAGTGTATAGATCACCCGAATGGTTATGAGTGCCAGTGTGCCACAGGTAAGAATTTTTCACTTCTTATTCCCCTGGTAGGTCCATCTGCCCTAAATAGGAGACTGTCCTCTTCTAGCTGCCCTGCCAGGCCAGTCGACTAATGGGCTGCTCTGTGTTTAGAAGGGGCTTCTTCCAGCTCTTTCTTGCTGCTCTCACTGTTTCCTTCTACAACACCTGCTTCCTTCACCACAGTGATGGCCTGGCCTGGACATTTCCATTTGGTGTCCCCGTCTTTCTAGGGCAGATTTTGGCAATGGTGAGTTTCCAGCTGGCTTGCCTTATTCCTCTGGAAAAGGAAAGAATTCCAGTTGTCATTGGGGCTTCTCAGCAGGAGGCCTGTCTCTGTGTTTCTTGAGGCAAGTGATTGAACAAAGGCTCAGAAATGCAGTGGTAGGCAAGTGCAGAGATTTTCTGCATGAATATGACTGATGCTTTGAGAGTCGAATGTGTATCTGAACAGGGGAGAGAGCTCTGTCTGGGAAAGTTTGGGTCCTCTTTCCTGACTCCTGCTACTAGAATCAAAAAGAATGTTTACAAATATTCTACATTTCTGATCTGTGGCGACATTTCCAATTTGGGAGTGGATTTGAATAAGCCAGACATTTCTTGTTAAACATTTGCTTCTGCACAGACCATTATTGTGTAGAGAAGGACGAGGTGGGAGGGGGGACCGGGATGGGGAATACATGTATATCCATGGCTAATTCATTTCAATGTATGACAAAAACGACTGCAATGTTGTAAAGTAATTAGCCTCCAACTAAAAAATAAATGGAAAAAAAAAAAGGAAATTATTAGAAAAGATGATTCCCCAGTTTCTTTTTTATCTGACTGTTTAAGAAAGAAGTTATGAATATAATTCAAGACATTTTTTCCTATTTTTTAGAAAATGGATTCTTAAAAGATTTTAAGCATCATGTGCATGATTTTTTTTCTGATCACAGAAAAGCAAACTAAGTCATAAAAATAAACAAAGAATTACTATTTCAATAGCATTAGAATATTATCACTTATTAGGCCTTCTCAGAGTGGGCCCTGTCAGATGATCCACTCAACTTCCTTTTCTTTTCACAAACTCTGGTCTCTGTTGGAAAAGTTTCAGGTTAGGTCTTCTTCTGGCTAGATTATGCTTATGGAGTATAACCTTCACTGGAGAGAATTTAAACTTTGAGCTCATGTTTAAAAGGGAGGAGAGTCCTTCTAAAGTCTCTTAAAAGTATTTAAGGTTGGATAAAGGAACTCTTATTGCCCCTTTTAACTGTCTTAACTTGGTCATTTTATTTAACAAGTATTGGTTAAAAACTTACTATATTTGCATAGATTCCTGGGAGGTTGGGAGGAATAAAGAAAAGTTCTCTGACCTCTCAGGTCAGAATTGGAAAGATAAGGTACATGAAGTTATTAATTTAGTACCTATATATACAGACTGGTTTGGGAGGAAAGACATATAGAGATAAATATATTAAGGAAAATTATAGAGAGCTATTCCCCACTGAAGTCCAGCATGCAATTAAGATGCAGTTAAAATGTCTCTGCAGTGAAATTACTGATCATTTTGAAGAAGCTATTTGAATTCTACAGATCTGATGTGAACAACTTCATTTTAAACAAAACTTGCTAGGCTTGCCTTATATATCAGTGCAGATAGTCAGTTCCAATTGCTTATGGCCCACAGTATGAATTGTTTAAAATATGGGATGTGTAGGACTAGAGGATGCTAGAGCTACATGTATGCTCAGGTGTGGAATGTGCACTTTGGGTTTAAGTATCTTGGGTACAATTCCTTCCAAGGATTCACTGGTGTGTTGTGTGAGGAGAACATCGACAACTGTGACCCTGATCCTTGCCACCACGGCCAGTGTCAGGATGGCATTGATTCCTACACCTGCATCTGCAATCCGGGCTACATGGGTGCCATCTGCAGTGACCAGATAGATGAATGCTATAGCAGCCCTTGCCTGAATGAGGGTCGCTGCATCGACCTGGTGAATGGTTACCAGTGCAACTGCCAGCCAGGCACGTCAGGTAAGCCCACTCTTCACTGCCTTTGGAGTTTTCACTGTTTCTCTAAAACAGTTTACACAGATGTCTCAGACTTTCTCAGCACATGTTTAGATACCAAAAATGTAGTCTTGATTCTGAGAAGCACAGCCAGAAACATCTCAGAGGCAGATAGCTCTAGCCAGTAGGGAAGTCAGAGACAATAGCTTCACAAAGCTGATGATTCTGTGTATGTGTTTTTCATCAAAAGGAGGCATACCACTTCAAAAAAATTGAAATTATTATTGAAAATTGAAATCCTTCTTTCTTTTGTGGCTCAATTGGATTGTCTTTTTTGTTTTAACTTCCACCTTACTCAGATTAATGAAGTTGGTCCTTCCCTCTCCATCCCTCCCATTCTTCCAGTAGTTTTTTCTCTGTTTTAGAGTCCAGTATCTTTAATGGAAAAGGAAATGGCAACCCACTCCAGTATTCTTGCCTGGAGAATTCCATGGATAGAGGAGCCTGGCAGGCTATAGCCCATGGGATCGCAGAGTCAGGCATTACTAAGCAACTAACACACTATCTTTAATGGGTCATCTTTCTTCTGCTGTTTTTCTCTGCTGGGCTTTGGGCATTTGGGGGACTCAGAGGGAGAGGAGAGACTCTGCAACATGTCTGGGTCATTGTCAATTAGAATGCAGAGCTGTCGTTTCCCATCCCCAGTTCATGGCCGTTTCCTGCCTCCAGTTGAATGACGGCTTGTTAGTCGTGAGGGCATGCTACTCCTTGCTGGGGAAATGTTGAGCTGTTTTCTCAGGCAGCAGCATTTCACAGATTTCAGTGGATTCTGTTTTACTTATTCGAGGAATAATTATGGTCACAACTGTGGTTAATGGACAGAGAAGTTCTGTGTCTCAGATCAAAGGAAAATGTATTAGTGGAAGATTAACTAGTGTGTGCCTTTGTTAGAAGGGAACCTGCCAATACAAGGAGTGATTTATTGAGAACTCATTCTCCATTTAAGGAAAATGGCCTGTGTAGGGGGCAAAGGTGGGGGAGGCGGTTAGCTGCCCTTATTTTATTTTGTTATTTCCAAATCCATTTCTTCAAACTTGTCAAAGGCCCTGGTCTTCATCCAGGAACTCGTACATGCCAAGTTTGAAAACAAAGTCCTTTTTGAGTTGCTCAAGCATACGAAAAACATCCCATGCCTTCCCAGTTGAAAATGCCTTCCCCCTCCCCACGTTTAGATAACTCTCTAAAAGAGCTGAATAGATCTTTGTGAAACCTTCCAAAAGCAATTTGCTTCCGGGCTGGTCCCCAGACATGAGAAATTGCAGTACGAAAAGAAATTTGAGAGATTTACAAGCAATTGAATGGATGCCTTTAGAATGGTGGGGCTGTTTTAGGCTTTGCTATCGTTCCCATTATAAAAATGTACTGGAAACCTGGGTGAGTGGTGGGCTGGCAAGCATTTTGTTTTCTTTGGGATTATATTATTATGCTGGGATGGATCAGGTGTGTTACCTGGGGAGTACAGAGAAGTCAAGGTGGAAGTAGCTGTCAGTGAGAAAGGCAGGCAGTAAATATCAGTGGTGTGCAGGCAGCATAGAGGAGGAAGGCACAGGTTCTTTCAGAAAACTGCCAGATTCATTCCTGTGACTGTTTGGAGAATTCACGCAAAGAGATGCAGACCGCATAAAGAGGTCTTGGTCTGTAATGGGTGCAGAAGGACCTGGCATGTACAAGGAGCTTCAGTGAAAGGATTCATTCAATTAACCATTATGAATAGACTTTTGAGTTGTAATCTAAGAATCGACAACTCATTCATAATATAGTCTGAGTTGGTAGCTTGGGGTTTGGATGAGTGTATGGATAGAAGGGATAGTTTACAATCTGCAGGTTATAATTGTGGTTTCTCACTCACTAAGTACTTAAAGTGCAGTACACTACCCAGAATCACTTCTAATACCTTTTTTCACCTGTGATCTTAAGTTTGGGGAGTTTCAAGTTATAGAAACAGCATTGACTAGCTAAAAGAATCATCAGCAAACAACAACTACAAAACAGACAAGCAGAAGGAATTCTGTGAAAGCACACAGAAGCATCTTACAGATTCCAAGTGAGAATTGAATAATGAGGCTTTGCGGGGATTAGCGGGAAGTAGGGCCACATGCAGACTGTAGGTCACCCAGTTCATGTTCCAGTGTTCCAATGAGATAATTTCATTGGCCCAGCTTGAGCTGAGTGTCTGTTCCTGCTAGAATACAACATGGATTTGGGGGCAGAGTCCCATTAAACTGCATGGCTTCCTGGGGCCTGCCTTGGTCTGTTGTGGGTTAATTGGATTGTCAATCAAGGGCTAGACACATCTCCTACAGGTATCCATTTGTAATTAAGGAATATTGAAACCTTTGCCTCATCTGTGGCTAGCAAGGCAGCATAGCCATATTAATCACAGTGACCAGTGTGGTGCGGTAAAGTGTATAGAATCCAGAGAGCTGGGTTCACGTCCTAGCTGTGCTGATGTAATTGTGCAAGTGCATGAGAAAATGGGTGTAACACAAATTGATTTGGCACTGAAGTGAGAAAAATTAAGTTATATCAAATGGGAAGCAGAGTATTTTGCTCACAATAATGACTCGATGCATTTTCAATATAATTATTAAATTATTAATAAATATTCACATAAAGTTTGAGTGAATAAATATTACGGCATTTTGTTGAGGAAGTTTCATTTGTTAGTTTATATCCTAATTATCAGCCTTCATAGACTGATAATTTTTAGACTTTTTAAACTGCCAAGATATTCTTTTATGATATCCAAATTCATCACTAAATTCATGTTAAGTAATATAATAGTATTTTTACAGAATAGTGGTAACAGTAGGGATTGGTATATCTCTACTATTTAGTTACCTGTATCTATAATTAAACTTTCCTGAACATAGTCAAACTCTGCCAGTCATGTGGGGAATAGGCCAGAAAGAAGGCAGCATACCCCAGGAGAAAGCTATGACTCCATAAGATTTGTCCTGAACTTTAGCCCTTAATAGTAACAGTCAGTAGCAAGCTTATAGTAGTAGATACAAGTTCCAAAATTCTAATGAAAGCTTAAATTTTACCTCTGGAGCACAGTATTGTCATAGTTCTTTTCCTTGAAGTGGCAGGATTGTTTCTTTCACTTAACTATTTGCTCAGTACTTAGGTCTGAATAGTCCTGGTTCGTCTGTCAGTTGCTCTTTCAATTAAAATGGGATTCTGTGAAAAAAGTTTCAGTTCAGTACTCAGTCATACAACTGCTTTTCCTGGAGACTGCTCTGTATGTTGGCATGCCACAGAATAGCTTTATGTGTATTTTCTATTTCATCACACAAAACAATAGAGGTATACTCAAGGGTCAAGGTATAATCAAATCATAAAGTTAATAATTTTGGCAGCTTCATCAAAGTCATTCTTAAGCAAAACTATCTTTTTTTGTATTGTTTTAACTGAGTACATGGAGGTGAAGAATAAAAAGTATACTAGTACAGTACAGTTTGGCACTTTCTGGATTCCTGCTAAGATGCCAGCAGTCATACCTCCATTGCTCTTTTTTTTTTTTCAGTAAGATATTTATTGTAATATAAAGCCATAGCTTTATCATCAAGATGGAAATGTGGGAACTGGGTAATAATTTGGTTGGGTACAGTCTGATATTCTAAAGCAATCATGTCCATGGAGATCAATTTAAAAGACCTACATAAGCAGTTAATGTTTTAAATTCAAAGATCCAAAACCAGGATTTTTGTCTTCCAACACCAACTCTTCTTCTTCATTCACAACGTCTGTCAAGAGTATTATATTTTCCTAGACATCCAGGTATGGTAACTGAATTTCCATGACTTCTCCCTTATTCTCTTCATTGACTCAGTTTCCAAGTGATAAAGACTATAACTCTTATGACCTCTCACATTCATCCTTTTGCTTTCATTCCTACTGGCATGTCCTTGGCCTTGGGCACCATTTCTTTAAACCAACTCCATGTCATGGCCTGCCCAATGTTCTTCTCACATTAATCCATCCCACACCATTCACGTTGACCTTTCATGCCACTCCCGATCATTGACTTGCTAACCAGGGCCCCTTCAGTGGGGTCCTTCATTTATGCTTCTCATCTCACCATTTGTCCTTGTGTCGCACCCCGGGGTTAAAGAAACCAAAGCACGGCTCTTACTGTGCCTCCTGCTGGCTGCCAGCCGCCTTGCAGATTTCTGCAATGCTGAGCCACACTTTTTTTTTTTTAATCTTCAGTGTTTCTGAAATTAGGAAGCACCTTATGTTCAAGGTCGTAGAAAACCTTCAGCCTCAGAATTAAGGCAGAAGTGATGACAGGCTCCTTGCTGCCTGTGACTGAGAATTGTTCAGTGTGTAAGAGGGGTCAGTTCATCTAACTGTCATTGCAGCTGCATATTAACTTTGGATCCCTGATTTGTACTTAAAATGAGGCAACATATGCTATAAACTGCTCTGGATGCTTGAGGCAAAAGAGATAAAAATCTCTGCCTTGATGGAGCATACATCATGAAGAACTGTTGCCAGGTTCTGAAGACTCTGTCTGTCACAGGGTCTGGTGGACTTTTTTTTTTTAATCAATTAATTTGTTTTAATTGCCTCCATTGCTTTTGTAACAGTGCAAATGCCAACACAATAAAAAAGACAAATAGTGGCTTAGTGTGATTAATATAATCATTTGACCTCATGATACCTTTAACAAGGTCTGGAGGACTGAACTTTCAGAAATGCTACTCTCCTGTATTCAGGGTTGGCTAGATACTCATCAGAGTTCTTAACACCCAGCATCACAAACAAAGATCATTGGTATTTCTGTGCTAATATTGCACGGTTTCTCTTTGCAGGTGTTAATTGTGAAATCAATTTTGATGACTGTGCAAGTAACCCATGTGTCCATGGAGTCTGTATGGATGGCGTTAATCGTTACAGCTGTGTTTGCTCACCAGGATTCACAGGTAATGGTCCTTTTTGTTGGGAGACTCCTTCTTCAGCCCCCTCACTTTGGGAAAAGGGCATCTAAAGGTTAGTTACTTTCAAATATATCTGACTTCTTTGTCTCTTGGAAGGTTAGAAGGTTGTTTCTGTGCTTCTCTGGCCCACTTTTCTACTTACAGGCCTTCCCTGAACTGTAACATGAAACTTTTCATTAGTTACAGTTTTTAGGCCATGTGTTTATAGCTACTTAAAAAGAGTTTCTTTTCAGACCATGAGTTTCCATCACTGTGCTTAAATTATATAGCTTTCAAGTTTTTCTATACTTAGTAGTGAATGCTTTCTGTAAAGGCATGGCCAAGGTAAAATTCTGTGAACACCTTATATGATTTTCTGAGTACTTCCTCTCATAAGTACTTGGGTAAGGTCAAAACAGCAAAGCAACCTATTTTTGGCTAGCGTAGTGGGTTTTATTTTCTCTCCAGGAGGGAGAAAGTGACTAAAATAAAATTGGTTATAATTCTTCTTAAATTCCTCTTAATTAACGCGCCCCCGCCCCCAGCTAGAACATTTATATACACACCATGTGTGCACACACACAAACTCGCATGCATCTTTTCTCTTATCTCTTTTGTTGCTAATAAGATTACCTTTACCTTTTACCTTCCTGATCAAAAAGTACTGGGAACTGCCAGGAAACATGAAGCCTCTTTCTGATACATCTGTTTGTCAAAGACAACCATCAGAGGCTGTGTGATGTGCCAATCCGAGTCTTTCCAGACAATGCCACGCACAGTAAAGCACTTACAGAACGATGTTACCCTTTCATAAATACCGTGTGGTCATTTGCAACCAATGTGAGAAACTTCCCACAGAACTTTTTAAACTGTGATGTCAGAAAGCCAAGAGATGCCTCTTTCTTGCTGGGAACTTACCTCTCTCTGTATTTCACAGTCCTTTGCACTGCTTGGTGTGATTGTGGACACAGGAGAGGAACGTTTGTGGCCTATATGGTCACCGTAATCTCTTTTCAGTAGAATATCACTCAGAAGACCAGGATGATGAGAGCTCTTATATCTAGTACCCAGCACTGCTGGTGTGGAGCCAGATGTACTTCTGTATCCTGACATATGTTACTCCAACATTGACAGCCGACTGAATTCCTTTCAGACAGAATGGCATATATACTTCTTTTACATGGGTAATAAGAAGAGAATGGCTACCATTTATTAAGGCCTTGTTTTTAGGTAGGCATTAAATCAAGTGCCTAGTCTCATCTAATTGTCACTACTATTATTATTTCTACAGTATTGATGAGAAACCCTGAATTCCGAGAGCTTAAGTAACAGTACCAATGCACTCGGGCCAGCACTCCACCCCGGAGGTTCTATTGTAGAGTTCATACTTACTGCCACTTGACTGGACAGCGTAAGTGGGTGCCTGCTGTGGTTTCTTTTTAGATATATAAGCCTTGCTGCTGCTGCTGCTAAGTCGCTTCAGTCGTGTCTGACTCTGTGCGACCCCATAGACAGCAGCCCACCAGGCTCCCCTGTCCCTGGGATTCTCCAGGCAAGAACACTGGAGTGGGTTGCCATTTCCTTCTCCAATGCATAGACTCAACTTAAATTTTTTGGAAATGTCAGTGAATCATATGCTGTCTCTTTTTAACATTTAGCAAATCAGGAAGGTCATGGAGGGAGGACATAGGCTAAAAATATTCTAAAATAAACTTAAGGTGTAGCATGAAACTGCATAACCAAGGAATGGAATGTTTTGGTTACAGGGTGGTACCCTGTTCTTGGAACTGTTTTCTACATCTGTTTTTTCTATTTGTTTTTTCAAGTCAGTTGCTGAAAATATCAGAGGCAACTGTGTTATATACTCATGACCCATAAATATAAGGTGTTTTAGTCTTGCCTTTATTTTAACACTGTTAACTTTTTATTATAATTTTAATAACAGCTTGAACAGATTTAAGGAATTTTTTTTCAGACAAAATTCTCTATTCTCCGCAGACCACTTTATACTTACTGATTGAATAGGAAAAGTAAGAAATCATGTGGTACTTCAGTAGACTACTTTTCACTTGTATAAACCACCTTTTCAATTTCACATTCATGTCCATTATTTTGCTGACTTCTTAGAATGGTCCATAAAAGTAGATAGGTTGTAAATGAAACCAAAAGCACAAGTAATAAAAACTAAAATGAATTTCTGGGGGGCAAAAAATAATATGTTGAAAAACTAACCTACAGAGATGGATAAAAATATATGCAAACTATGTGTTTACCAAAAAGTTAATGTTCAAAATATATAAAGAATCATACAACTCAATAGTAAAGAAGCAAATAATTCAATTAAAAATTAAACAAATAACAAGAAAAAAATTCAGTAACTATATATAGTGACATGTTAACTAGACTTATTGTAGTGATCATTTTTCAATATACACAAATATTACATCATTGTTTTACACCTGAAACTAATATAATGTTATATGTCAATTATAAAACCCACTCCAGTCTTCTTGACTGGAGAATTCCATGGACAGAGGAGCCTGGCAGGCTACAGTCCATGGGGTCGCAAAGAGTCGGACACGACTGAGCGACTAACACTTTAAAAATGAAAACACATTAGTCAGGAGTAGGGAAACCCAATTTAAGAAAATATTACTGGAATATTCCCAATAATTTCCAGATATAAGATACTGATAATGTTCACTGTAATTCTCAAGAGCTACCTGATTTAACCACATTCTGATTATATTTTTAGGCTGTAAATCATTATTTGTATTTTGAAATCCAGTATCAACTGAAACAGGTAAAGTTTTAAAAGCTTTACAATCTACCAAACCCTAGTGACTTTCAAATGGCGTTTGAAAGGCTAATGATGATGAGTAACTACCAATATAGCTAATCCTCATCACAGTGTCATTATGCAGCTGTATAAAATTGCCAAATTCAATGAAAAAAAAAAGATTCGAGGTTTACAATCTCATCTTTCTCTCAGTCTCTTATAGGATTTTCTAATCAGGAGTATAATGAATAAATATTTATAAATTATAACTGTAAATGCTGAACATGCAGTTGTTTTTGGTTCTCCAGCCGCTAGTGAAGGCACACTACTAAGCACAGAGGGGCACTGGGTTATGGGAAAAGTGGTAGACAGTGAGTTCATGCCTTTAAAAGGATTTAAAGTGTGATCAGGAACACAGACTGCATACATCAGAAAATGACGGAAGACAAGGGAAGTGGTTTAAAGCAAGGTATACACATTCAAAAAAGTATAAGCGATGAAGGAAAACAAATGTTTAGAATCAGGGGGAAAATGGGCAAAGGACGTTCTTCTTCCAAAGAAGACATACAGATGGCCAACAGGTACAGGAAAAGATGCTCAGCATCACTAATCATTGGGAAAATGAAAATCAAAACCATAGTGAAATATCATGTCACACCTGAAAGATTGGTTGTTATCAAAAAGATAAGAGATAACAAGTGTTGGTGAGGGTGTGGGAAAAGGGGAACTCTCATGCACTGTTGATGTGAACATAAAATGTTACAGTTATTATGGGAAAACAATATGGCAGTTGTCAAAAAATTAAAAATTGAACTACCATAAGGTCCAGGAATTCTATACTTGTGTATCTAAAGGAATTGAAATCAATATTTCAAAGAGGTATATGCACACACCCATGTTCATAGAAGCACTATTCACAATAGTCAAGATATCAGAACAACCAAAGTGTCCATCAGTGGATGAATGAGTAAAGGAGATATGTTGTATGTATACAATGGAATATTATTCAGCCATGAGAGAGAGGGAAATCCTGACATTTGTGACAACATGAATGGAACTTGAGGACATTAAGTGAGATAAATCAGACAGTGAAAGACAAATACTGTATGGTATCACTTAATGCAGAATATTTAAAAAGCCAAACTCATGAAAGCAGGGAGTAGAATGGTGTATATCAGGGTCTAGGCTAAGAGAGTAGGGGATTGGAGAGAGATTGTTTAAGGGTACAAATTTGCAACTAGTAGATAAATAAGTTCTGATTGAATGCATAGCATAGTGATTATAGTCAGCAATACTATAGCATTTTAAACTTTCAAATTGCTAAGAGAGTAGATCTTAATTGTTTTTTACCACAAAAAGAAATGATGGTATGTGACATGATAGAAGTGTTAACTAACTGTGGAGGTAATCATATTGCAGTATATAAAATATATCAAACCAACACATCATATACCTTAAACTTACACAGTGTTATATGTCAATCATGTCTTAATTTAAAAATTAACAAAAAACGTAGATAGGGACTTTTCTTATCCTCATTTAACAAGTAAGGCAACTGAAAGAGCTTGGTGTGTCCGTGGTGTGTCCGTGGTCTTAGCTAGTGAGTCTCACTGTTAGGACTGTGAATTCCCAGAAGGCAGCACCTCCCTAATTGTCTTTTTAGCCAACATTTTCTAAAACTGTGTAGCACTCAAGGAGCACTTAGAAAATATTGCTGAATGGACGACCAGCACTCACATATGGAGCCTCTGACATCCAACACTAGACTCTTGAGTCTGGGCTATACCATGCTTTCATTCATTAAATACTGATTTGTTAGGCACCTACCTACAAGATGATAAAACACTGGCTAATCTCTCATTCAGTAGTTACTGAGCCCAACAAGGTGCATAGCCTTGTGCTTGGAATTCATGAAGTGCTGGGATTTCCGATGCTGCTTAAAGGATGAGAATTTGCTAGCAAAGCAGCTGTCAGTCCACCAGGTAGACCACACAAAGAGGCACTTAACCCTCTCAGCTACAGATGACTTGAAAATTAATTCTGCTAAGAGCTTTAAAAGCAAATAAAGAAAATGTGAGAAGTGTGACTTCTGAGAAGATTTTTCCCAAGAAAAGACAGAATTGAAAAAGCTTTTTGTTCTCATTCTCCACTGAATTTCAGACAGAAGATAGTGCTGTAGTTAAAAGAGTTGTGGCTCTTATCTTGCTGCCAGTGGCAAACATCTAAAAAAAAATCAGAAGTTGAGGCTAAGAAAGTAGTATTGTAGAATTGGTTATTAAGAAAATACTTAAAAAGAAAATAGCAACTACTATCAGATTATGGGTTTTTTACCACACCAACCACCAATAATGGTTTAGAGAGCAATAGAGAGTGAAAAAATGTTAATACCCATACTTTAAAAGGGTGTGTATCTATTTCATTTGGAATTTCCTGTTCTAATTGCAGGGTTACTCTTTCTTAAATAAAAATGCCTAGTTTTATATGAATCAGAAAATTGTATTCTTTGAAATTTATAATTCCTTCATAGCAGTTGCTTGTCACCAGTCATTTATAGAATTATGGGTTATTTTAAAATTTTATATCATTTTGGAATATATAGTTAAATCTCATTTATTCAAAACTTAACAAAGCAAAACCCATATGTAACTGGCATTTATTCCACTTTATAGCAGACATCTTTTCAAAGTGCAATCTTGGGTATGTTTTAGAGGAAGAACATACTCATTTCAATTTCATATATTCTGAACATTTACATTATAACTTGATGAAATAATAATTGTCTGCATCAGAATTTCTCAAAATTTAGTATCTGAAAAACCTACATTATTTAAAATGTTACTTTGGAGCTGTAAGGATCTTCTTTTAAAACAAGTACTTTTAGCAATCCTTGCACATTAAAATTTGAGAACCACTGGTCTATATTGAGAGACCCTGAATGGTTTTCTCAATGATCAGAGAACAATAAAATTATATTTAGGTTTCTCTTCTTCCTGAGGCAGAAAATAGATTAATACAATTCTGAAAGTGAAAACAAATGGCTTTTCTTTTTAAGCAACTTAATCATTAATAGCCCACTCACTGAACTTGCCTGTTAATTGAGATTTACCATATATAGAAATGTAAAAGATTGACTAACTCTTACAAGAATGAATGCAGTAAACCAGCTGACAACAGTGATAAGGAAAACTTGAGAGTTCTCCAAACAGCAGCAAGAGGAGCAGAGAACTCTGATAGCATTTGATATTTTCTTATTGAATATTTCATGTAAAGTTTCCCCATTTCTAAACTGGAGTGAAGAAACACATGTTGAAACACTACAACACCATTCCAGTATTTTGTTAACTTTGTTAGGTTATCGAAGCACAATGCTCTCTGCTCCTTCCTTGCATGGCTCTGAGTGCTCTTGGATGTCTTATTCCTTAATCTTGACATTTGGTGCCCACGGCATTTTAGGCAGATAAAGGTGCCTGCACAATAGATCTCATGGTCCTGGGTCTGTTCCCTAAGCATTTTGGATTTGACAGAAACTGTGCCCCTTATCTGCAGGGCAGAGATGTAACATTGACATTGATGAGTGTGCCTCCAATCCCTGTCGCAAGGGTGCAACGTGCATCAATGATGTGAACGGTTTCCGCTGTATCTGCCCTGAGGGGCCCCACCATCCCAGCTGCTATTCACAGGTGAACGAGTGCCTAAGCAATCCCTGTGTCCACGGAAACTGCACTGGGGGCCTCACTGGGTGAGTAGCTGTCATGTATTCATCGTTTCTTATTGACCTGTGTCAAGCCAGTTGAGTTTTAGTACTGGCCATACCCTGCAGCAGTCAGTCAGGACTTGAGCTGAGACTAGGCTGAAGAGGTCGGTAATCCACATTATAGTCTTCCAAGTCACCACTTCTTCCCTGCCTTCCATGTCTGAGTAGATGGAAAGTAAGGAGGAATGTTTCATTCCTCTGGTGGGTAGTCAGCACATGGGAGGAGTCCAGGGTTATTTTCTGAGTCTTTAGCTGTTGTGCTTTTAGTACTAACTGCAAGATTGAGTTCTGAGGGATATTGTGTTTGACTTAACCTCCTGCTTAAAGAAAACCCAACTCTGTTTCATAATGATACCAGTGGGCACCTCTGAACTAGAGCTGGTTTCAGCTAGCTAGAGTCTTGGCCCTGAGGAAGTGTTCACAGTTGGCAAGCCCCTGAGAGTTGTGTAATGTGTTGGCAAGTAGTTTTCTAGAATCACAGAGGGTGACATTTGGCTCCATGAGACAGTCCTATGCTCTTGCTTTGCTTGCCAGAGGACGGGACTTTGGCCGGGACTTAGCGTTTGCCATGCTTACAACAGGTGAGAGAATGAAGAGTACATTTGGAGGTAAATGGGCAATCAAGTGATTTCCAAGATGAATTAACTCAGTATTCCTGTTTCAGAGTATAGCAGCCTTCAAAGCATCCCAACCCATTTACTTTTTTAAAAAAAGAATCACCAGACAAGGAGGCTGTTATCTCCCGACATCACATTCTAAGTGCTAATGGTGCTCAGATTGTGAACAATATGCATATATTTCAGATGCCTTCATTTTTGTTCCATTTCCCACTCAGCACCTTTGGTGCTTTCTGGGGGCAGGGTTTCAGGTCAGAACAAAGCATGTCTCAGAAGTCAGATATCCCAGGAGCCCTTTGGGGTCACTTAGAGTCTCTGATACTGCCCTACTTTCTGAGTATCTGTTTTACACCAGAAACAAGTGATCTAAGGTTTCTTTACATTTCCTTAGCAGAAAAGAAACTGCAGATTTACCAATGGCAATGAGTCTTTCAGTTTGTCCCAATTTGTTGTACCAAGCACTCTTTATGTATGAAAGCCCACTTTACACTTATTTTTCCAGCATTTTTGGTGGGCCAGGAAGCTGTGTTTACTAAATACTCCAGATGGGCCCACGTGATTCACAAGGTAATCCAAGTGTAGGTTTGAAGAGGAACAGAAATGAGATTAGCCTACCCAGGAGCTCCTTGATCCTTCATTTCATCAGAATTTTGTATTTCAACTGTGACTTAATTGTACATTCATACCACAACAGTAACTTATTTCTGTCTTCTTTCAGATACAAGTGCCTCTGTGATGCAGGCTGGGTTGGCATCAACTGTGAAGTGGACAAAAATGAATGTCTTTCTAATCCCTGCCAGAACGGGGGAACTTGTGACAATCTGGTGAATGGATACAGGTGCACTTGCAAGAAGGGCTTTAAAGGTGATGCAGAAGTGCATATTTTTATGTCCTTTTTCTGCCTTTTTGTTGGTGCATACAGCCTGACTCACTTCTTTCTTTCCCCTTTTTCCTACTCATTCATATAGGAAACTTAATTTGAGCACTTATTTTTTATAGGGCAGTTGGAGAATAAAAACATAAATAAATTTAAACATGGATTCTATTTTCAGACTAGCAGAGAGGTGAGCTATTAAAACAGTACCATTTAAGGTGAGCAACTAGAGCTCCACTCATACAACTTTGGATGTTCTAACTGGGTATTCTAATTGTAAGCTCCAGTGTAGGCTTGATTCTATGATAATTCAAAAGAGATTTTGGTAGGAGAATGAAAATCTTGTTTTACTGTAATTATAGCAATAATATCATGGGAGAATCCATGTATTTAAAACCTTTCCAACAAATTCTCTTAAACATTGAGATATTCTTAGATGATATGTAGTCACCTATGGCCTTCTGGAAAAATGATAGTAGTGAGTACTGTGTAAAATCACTTTTTGAGTTGTCTCTGTTATATTTCTCCTGTCACTTTTTTCTTTAACCTTGAGAGAGAAACCTGTGGGTAAATTATACATATTTGTACTCCTTGATCCATATAGTCATTTATTTCACAACTCAAAGATGTGCCAGGCTACTGTGATAGGTCAATATGTTCTGGTGTCACTTTATTTGATAACTTGACATTTTTCTAAGATCATGTTTTAGTCATTAACTTTTTGACATTCAGATATATAACATCTATAAAGAAACTTACAGATTTAAAAGCACTTTTATTCCTTTGTCTCTTTGAGACTTGCTGATCAACAAAATAAATATCAAGATAGTTCATAATCATATGTCTAGTGATTAACAGAGTACAGTTTGAACTCAGACCTCTATACTTTTAGGCCATTATTTTCTTTTTATACACGGCTGTACTTCCTCAGTTTTAAGACTCTGTGTCAGGCTCTATTGCAGGTATAAAGGTGGTGACATTTGGTAATGTCCTGTCCCCCCATGAATGCTTCCTTACTTTTCTCTTTTTTCATAGTGGGAGTAGATTTTGTGTCTTGGATCAGGGGGAAGAGCTTTGTGACTTCAGAAAGCACCACCACATTGATGGTAGATACTGTGCATTTGAAAAAGTGGGCATAAATCAAGAAGCTTTGAGTAACTGTTCAAATATTTTATCCCTTGATAACTTCTAGCCTATTTTTAAGCCCTGACCAGATACTTTGTATAGAAGCCTCTATTTAGATATAGCAGTAGCTTTTTACCCTAGTGAACTTCTTGGTCCATTATAGAGAAATTACTTGTATTTGGACATTCATTAAACTTTAAAGCTATTAGAATATATTGTTCTTCCATTCATTTTTTGATTAAGCAGTTTTACTGACTGTATGTCAGGGACTTTATGCTGAAATGAATGAACAGGTGTTTCAGTGGCCTGAAGAAATTAATGCAGTTTCTGAGGTGTTTAACGTTTATCCCTGAGAGCATTGCTTAGTAATTGAGATATTGAGGAGGCTCACAGAAAGTTTCACTGTCTTTGATTTTTCCCCCTTTTTGTCTGCAGGCTATAACTGCCAGGTGAATATTGATGAATGTGCTTCGAATCCATGTCTGAACCAAGGAACCTGCTTTGATGATGTAAGCGGTTATACTTGCCACTGTGTGCTGCCATACACAGGTGAGTCCCGGGGTCCAGGGGCCAGAAGGGATGCTCAGTCTTGCCTTGTCATTCCAAACCTCGGAGTCTCAGAGATGGGGTCTGTGGGGGCAGTGATGCTGCCCTGAGGAATCATGGCCTGACCACCTTTCCTGCTCTCACTGTCTAGGTCATCTGCTCAGAGACAACACTGTGGCCTCTCTAGATGCAAGTGGTAGGGATACTTGTTTGCCTTTATCTTTTAGGGTTTGAAAAATTTTTTTTAATTATACATGTCTTGAATTGACACATAGTTGATGGTTTAGTCATTATCTGAATGGACTATATGGCCTGTGCTCTTGGTCTTAGTTTTGCCAACTCAACAGCTACCACTTATCGGTCATTTACTATGTGCCAGACACTTTATATATTTTGGAGTATTTACTCTAGTGCTCACTATAATTCTGTAGAGTAGAGGTTCCTATTCCTGTCACCGTTTTATACATGAGCAAGCTGAGGCAAAAAGAGGTTACTTGCTGAAGGTCACATAGGTAAGTAGTAAATCTAGGATTTGTCCCCAAGTCTTTGAATCCAAAGCTTGTCCTCTTAACTGTCCTTCCTCTCCTCACTTTGATTGCCACTGCGTCCTCTGCAGAGAGGCACTACCCCTTGGATGGCGATCACACAGAGAAGACATGGATGTGACTTCATTTCGTATCAGGTGACTTTGTTTCAGGTGGTGTTACAGGAGTGTGCTTGGACATTTCTTTGTATTCTCCTGCCTCATTACTGCCGTCTTGTGACTGGTTGTATTTGTGTGGCTCACTTGCCTCATGTCATCCCTTTAATGGCTTTGCATGTTTCTCCAGTGTCTTGCATGCAGGCAGGAGCATGGCTGAGTTCTTACTCCCCTGGAGTCTTGGCCTGTTGATAATAGCTGTTGCTAGTGTCTCTAGGCTGTTTAGAGTGGCCAGATGCATGACTCTTTTACCTGAAAGACTTGGTACTACATTGCTGTCTTTGTCACCTCTTTACAAGAAACATTCATGCAGAGAAACTGCATTTAGCCATCCTGATTGAAAAAATCAAAATTATTGGAGATCCATAGCTGTCCCCAGACAGTCTAAATAATGTCGTTCCATAGCAATAGCAATCACACTTGTTGGAACTGAGCAGATCATATCATTTACAACCATAAAGACTGAGAACTGATGGTAGTAGGGAGATATAAGCAGGTGTCATTATGCTTTGACACATTATAGGCTTATCTGAATGTGATTAAGGTACATAGCTCATTGGGAAAATATTTGCCTTCTTGCTATTCAACACTGTAATATATGACTATGTGCTGGCTGTTGGCTTTTCTACATATTAGGATATTATTAAAAGAATTTACTATGTGTGACCTCTGGGAAATTATATTAGATATTACAGTTTAAAATTTCAGTGCTGAGTGTTGCTAAAGGTTCTGAGTGTCACTGAATTTGGCCAGCATGAAGGGAGCTAAGCAATGTTGCCTTTCCTTGTGAGCCACTGTTGTGACCAGACACATTAAGAACTTGTTAGGGGAACTTCCCTGGTGATCCAGTGGTTAAAACTTCATATTCCAGTGCAGCGGTAACAGGCTTGATCCCTGGTTGGGAGCTAAGATCCCACATGCCTCATGGCCAAAAGGCCAAAACAAAAAACAAAAGCAATTTTGTAACAAATTCAATAAAGACTTTAAAAATGATCCACATTGGACTTCCCTGGTGGTCCAGCAGTTAAGAATCCATTTGCCAATGCAGGGGACATGAGTTTGATCCTTGGTCCAGGAAGATCTCACATGCCTCGAGGCAGCTAAGCCCGTATGCCACAACTTCTAAAGCCCATACGCCTAGAGGCCATGCCCCCCAACAGGAGAAGCCCTGCAATGAAAAGCCTACTACCCACTGTGACTAGAGAGTAGCCCTACTTGCCACAAGGCCCGTGTGCAGCAACAAAGACCCAGTGCAGCCAAAAAGAGATTAATTAATTCTAAAACCTGTCCTGGGACTTCCCAGGTGGTGCCAGCGGTAAAGAACCTGCCTGCCAGGAAAGGAGACATAAGAGGACATGGGTTTGATCCCTGCATGGAGAAGACCCCCTAAAGAAGGGAAAGGCAACCCACTCCATTCTTCTTTCCTGGAGAATCCCATGAACACAGGAGCCTGGTGGGCTACAGTCCATGGAGTTGAAAAGAGTTGGACACAACTGAAGTGACTTAGCAGCAGCACAAAAAATTGTCCACATCAAAAAGAACCTTTTAAGAAAAGGAAAAATGGTTAGGGACATTGATGAAAATTTGTGGTTATATTTTTTTCTTTTTGAATGCAAAGTTTTAGGATAAAATTTTAAATTGAGTTAGTTGTTACTTGACCTTATTTATTTATTTTGTTGCAACGTTGCATTAGTTTCAGGTGTACACTATAGTGATTCAAATATTATACTCCATGTAAAGTTACTATGAAATAATAGCTGTATTCCCTGTTCTGTATCCACATAGAGTATTTATTTTATGCCTGGTACTTTCTGTCTCTGAATCCTCCACCTCTTCCTTGGCCCTCCCCCTTCCCTCTCCCTCTAGTAACCACGGTTTGTTCTCTATACCTGTGAGGCTGTTTCTGTTTTATTATATTCATTTGTCTTGTTTTTTAGACTACACAGATAAGTAATAACATACAGTATTTGTCTTTTCTGATTTGTTTCACTAATCATAATACCCTCTAAGTCCATTCATGATGCAGATGGGAGAATTTCATTATTTTTTATTGCTGATTAATATTCTGTGTGTGTGTGTGTGTGTGAGAGAGAGAGAGAGAGAGTCACAAATCACATCTTCTTTATCCATTCCTTTGTTGATGGATACTTAGGTTGCTCCCTTAACTTGGCTATTATAAATAACCTAATGCTGATTTGAACATTGAGGTGCATGTATCTTTTTGAATTAGTGTTTTCATTTTCTTCAGATGTATACCAAAGAGTGCAATTGTTGGATCATATTGTAGTTCTGTTTTTAGCTTAAGTAACATCCATACTGTTCTCTATGGTGGCTGCACTAGTTTACATTCCAACCAATAGCATCAAGGTTTTCCTTTTCTTCATATCTTTACCAGCATATTTTATTTGCATACTTTTTGATGGTAACCATTCTGACAGGTGTGAGTTGTAATTTGACTTCCAAAACAACTTAATCTCCCTTTTTAAAAAACTTTTTATTGGAATATAGTTGATTTACAATGTGTTAGTTGGAGGTGTACAGCAAAGTGAACTCTTTTTTAGATTCTTTTTCCATATAGACCATTACAGATTATTGAATAGACTTCCCTGTGCTAGGTCCTGATTGGTTATCTATTTTTTTTTTTGGTTATCTATTTTACATACAGTAGTGTGTATATATCAATCCCAGTCTCTAATTCATCCCTCCCCTCCCCTTGGTAACCATAGGGTTGATTTCCACATCTGTAACTCTGTTTCTGTTCTGTAACTAAGTTCACTTGTACGATTTTTTTAGATGCTAGCTATAAGTGATATCATGTGGTATTTGTCTTTCACTCTGTATGACAGTCTCTGGGTCCATTTATGTTGCTGCAAATGGCATTATTTTGTTCATCTTTAAGGCTGAATAATATTGCACTGCATATATATACCACGTCTTTTTTATCTATTCCTCTGTTGATGGGCATTTAAATTGCTTCAGCATCTTGGCTATTACAAATACTGATGCAGTAAACACTGGGGTACATGTATCTTTTAGAGTTATGGTTTTCCATGGTTATATGCCCATGAGTGAGATTGCTGGATCATATGGTAGCTCTGTTTTTACTTTTTAAGGAAGCTCCATGTTGTTCTTGATAGTGGCTGTACCAGCTCACACTCTCACCAGCAGCGTTGGAGCGTACCATTTCTCCATACCCTCTCCAGCATTTATTGTTTGTAGAATTTTTGATGATAGCCTTTCTGACAGGTGTGAGGTGATGCCTCATTATAGTTTTGATTTGTATTTCTCTAATAATTAGTGATGTTGAGCATCTTTCCATGTGCTTTTTTGTCCATCTATATGTCTTCTTTAGAGAAATGTCTATTCAGATCCTCTGCCCATTTTTTGATTGCAGTGTTTTGTTTTTTTTTTTCTGGATATTGAGATCCATAAGCTGTTTGTATATTTTGGAAATTTGCCCTTGTCAGTTGCTTCATTTGCAAATATTTTTTCCCATTCTGAGGGTTGTCTTTTCATTTTGTTTACTGGTTTTCTTTGCTGTGCAAAAGCTTTTAAGTTTAATTAGGTTCCATTTGTTTGTTTTTGCTTTCAGTTTCATTACTCTGGGAAAGTGAAAGTGAAAGTTGCTCAGTCGTGTCCGGCTTTTTGCGACCCCATGGACTATACAGTCTGTGGAATTCTCCAGGCCAGAATACTGGAGTGGGTAGCCTTTCCCTTCTTCAGGGTATCTTCCCAACCCAGGGATCGAACCCAGGTCTCCCACATTGCAGGTGGATTCTTTACCAACTGAGCCACAAGGGAAACCCAAGAATACTGGAGTGGGTAGCCTATCCCTTCTCCAGCGGATCTTCCTGACCCAGGAATTGAAACAGGGTCTCCTGCATCGTAGGTGGATTCTTTACCAATTGAGCTATCAGGGAAGCCTTACTCTAGGAGGTAGATCAAAAAAATCTTGCTGTGATTTATGTCAAAGGGTGTTCTTCCAATGTTTTCCTCTAAGAGTTTTATAGTATCCGGCCTTTCACTTAGGTCTTTAATCCATGTTGGGTTTATTTTTATGTATAATGCTGGGAGTGTTCTAATTTCATTTGTTTACATATAGCTGTCCAGTTTTCTCAGCACCATGTATTGAAGAGACTGTCTTTTCTCCATTGTATATTCCTGCCTCCTTTGTCATAGATTTGGTGACAGTGTGTGGGTTTATTTTTGGACTTTCTTTTTTTTTTTTTTTTAAGCCCTTTTTTTTCCCATTTATTTTTATTAGTTGGAGGCTAATTACTTTACAACATTGCAGTGGTTTTTG